AGACTACTCGAAATTGCCACAACCAATCAGCTTTTCCAGTTTAATGGTCAACTCAACCAACAGACAGATGGTGTGGCCATGGGCTCGCCCCTTAGTCCTCTAATGGCCAATGTCTTCGTGTTTCATCTTGAAGAAAAGCTTACACGCGAGGGCTTGATGCCCCAGTTGTACAAGAGGTACGTCGATGATACTCTGGCTAGAATGCCTAGCGTTGATGTTGCTGCTGAGTTTCTTAGAACCCTGAATGGCCTACACCCCAGTCTAACATTTACGATGGAGCTTCCTGTGGATAACAAGATCCCTTTTATTGGCATTGAAATCGTCAAGAACGGAACTAAACTTGAAACTCAAGTTTACAGAAAACCAACAAACACCGGATTGCTCCTACATTTCCAAAGTCACACGGATAAACGCTATAAAGACTCTTTATTACAGACAATGATACATCGTGCCTATTCCTTGTCGTCTACAACAGAGGCGTAGTTTTTGGGGCAAGACCTCAGACCCAAAGAAATCAAGCCGTCAATTGTTAATAAGCAGTGTGTTGTTTACAATTTTTCATGTGATCTGTGCGATGCAGATTATGTAGGGTATACAGCCCGACACCTTCATCAACGCATTGCTAAGCACAAAAATTCGGCAATCGGTAGACATTTCTTAGAAGCTCATGGTAACAACAACCTTTTGAGAGAAAGCCAATTCACGGTTTTAAGAAAGTGCCAGAGCAAATTTGATTGCTTAGTATTTGAAATGCTCTTCATTAAGAAACTTAAGCTCAATTTAAATATTCAGACGGACTCTATACGTGCGAAACCCTTTGTTTGATATTTTCTCACGTTACAATTTTTTTTAATCAGCTATTGTTGTTTTTTTTTAGTATTTATAGACCAAAAATCACTAACTTATTTTGACTTGATAATGACGTTCAGCTAACGTCGAAACGTCGTCGCTTTTTAGCAATTTTTTTAATCTTGAAATGATTTTAAGAAATGTTTTATCGCAATTTTTTATAGTGAAATGCTTTTCAAAATCACTTCTTGTTCAGAAGATTGTTATTTATTTATTTTAATTTGTTTACACCTTCAAATCTAGGTATAGCGTGCCAAAGGTACGTTAGAGTGGGCCTTCGGCCCAAATACCCGCCTATCATTTCAAGATTCCCACCTTTTAAAAACTTAAGCTACATCTCTAGGTAAGTGAACTTGAATTATTCAAGTTATAGGCAGAAAAATTGGGGATGTCAGTAGTCCCGACAATGTCCTTGGCCAAGCCTGTAAAGGCTCTTTCCTAACTTTTCCCTCTCTTGACAATCGGTTTGAACAATTAGTAGTTACACCAACAGGCAGATTTTTGTGCGATTAGCAGCAGAGCAGCATCAGTTTGTGAACCGCGCCTTGCAGCAACTTCTTTCATTGGGTGCTATTTCTGAAGGAGAGAGAGAGAACCCTGAGAATGAAACAGGCGTCACTTAGCGTCACGGATTTGCGTGTGCGGCTAGGTTACTAAGTTTTCAAAATTGTGGCTGCCATTGCAACTCGACCACTTCAGTTACCCTTTGGAATCTTAAAGGGCAGTAAATATTAAACTTTATATGTACCTTGAAATGGCGAAGAAGCATAGTGCGCTTTTAACGAATATTTCACGACTCTTCATAAAAAAAAAACACTGAACATAAATGTCAAAGTATTTATTACACCTGTTTCAAGGTTTTTATTCTGCAATATCAACTAATTTTGAACCGTCCGAATTTATCCTCATTCGTCGACATCAGTCCAAATCGTGGTCTGATTAAATTTCGTAACACTTGATCCAAGTGAAAGTGCTTGTTTTCATTTCAGCTATTGACGTAGGCAATTCCATTTTCACTGCTTTAATGCTGGAGGTGTTTTTCTGAGTTCTAACCTTACAGATGAAATCGTAAATTCCAACCTCGTTCAAGAATTTTACATTTACTGTCAATTTCTATCAAGTAATAATTTAGATATAAAATAAATTATTTACGAGCACGGATCGAAGGCAGCCTTATGTATATGTCTTTTCTTTTGGTTCTTGAGTTTCGTCGCTTCTTTCCAAACTTCGGAGGAAATTGTTTACCTTTTCCTGAAGAGTACATTCCATACCGTCAACATGAATCCCTAAAGGACTCGCATTGCTTCTCGGGTATTTGTCGTCGTCCAGTTGGGTCACATGATCAACCACGTGTGACATTGACAACTTAGGGAGATCGGTTATCGTGGCAACACTAAGGCGTGACGTACTTCCACTATTTTCACGTGACGGTTGGAGAGGTATGACTTCTTCTTGACAAACTGATCTGGAAAATTGCTGCAGCTTTGTGGGGCAGGAGATTTTTCTGATCGGTCTCGGAGGCGATGATAATGGTGACGAATGATGATGGGAAATCTTTCTCCGCACAAATATAGGGCTAGCGACACGACTGACAGCCTCGCTCCCTTTTCTCAGAGATGGCATAAAAGGTTCATTAAGGGTATGGCCATTGGGATATGTTGAGGCGAGGTTTATCATTTCTGTCGATCTCGCCTTTGCGCGGTTTAAGTTGTCAGAGCCAACTTGCAAGGAACTTTGACTTAGCGTCTTCCGCAAGCCTCCTTCCCTACCTTCCTTTGTGAACAGTGGATCGGTGACGGAAATTTTACGACGATGAACCAACAAAGTCGCCGCCGAAGGCGAACAGTGGTCGGATGAGTTCGAGGGCTGCTTCGAGAGTTGTCGTTTTAGAGCAGTCTTGCCAGCAGTGCTTAGAGTGGGTTTTCTTGTCCAAGCATTCTCAGTTTGATTGTTCGTTTTTACTGAGCCTTTGCCTACTTTTTGCTTGTCGCAGAAACCCGAATCTGTAAGGTTAAAAAGGATAATTGATCTGAGAGGCTCAGAAGGAAAGAATAAAAATTGGAATGTTAGTCTTTTTACAAGTCGCTAGAGTGAGTGATTCTCTCTGCTTGTACATTCTCTTACCTAAGATGATTACGTATTTCATTTGGCCTTCTAACCAAATGAGGACTCTTAATCCTTTTTTATTGAACGTTTTACGTTAGAACAAGGAAATGTGGCGGAAAAGCCGAATTTTATAAGCACAGTCTAGTTTATGCGTTCTACTTTGTTCGAATTGTGGCAAAACTGCAAGATACGAGTTAGTTGATGGCTACAAACAGTCCACCTTTGAAGACCTTGTGGGTTTCTAAGGTATGGTCAAGTTTCTTTACAAAGAGAGAAACTTGTTAAGGTGGAAATGACAATGTTTTCAATCCCAATCAGATGAACTGTCTTGTTTCACTGACCGTAGGACAATTTCAACGAAATATGTTTTGAAACATTTAAAATGAGCATAGTAGTAAAGAATAATCCATCTTCCTTGTGGGAATGAAACCTTCACGAGTTATGAGTTAGAAAATTTAACGAGTTGCAATTTATGCCCCATCATCGACGCCATTTAAGAGATCATAACGACAAAAGCTGCTATAATTATTCCTCTGGAAAGTTCAGGGGTCATATGTTATTTACGTCGTATCTTTTATGTTCTATCAACCATTGCTACTTGTATAGGCCTGCCCCTCTTGTAATTGTCACGTTAATTACGGATGTTACGTTTTTTGACATCCAGTCGTCCATCGCATGCAGTAAAAATGATGTAATGGTTCTTCGAATAGAAAACATCACTGGGTTGACGTTAGACTAAGAAACTGAAGAGGAAAACGAAATCGTTTGATAACAATTCAGTTATGGCTTTTCTTTCTTTTTTTGTTACCTTGGCGTTTAGATGGAATTTTGTAACATTTAGCGTTGTTTCTTAGTATCAGTTGTGTTGTTCGGTGTATAATTTGGGCTTAAAGTCGTAAATCAATATCATTTACGTGTTGTGCAGTGGATTACTATCAATTACTTATCTGCTTTAAATTGCAAATCGTGATAATTGTGTTAAGGGCTTTGTATGTTTCGTGTTATTTGCGCTTGCGGAAGAGAGCTCCAACACTTGTACTCCAATTTCAATGATAGTCATCCTTTTAAGATAGCAAAGGTATTAAATCGCGCTTCTTCAGCGAAAGCAGCACATCAAAGCTTTTCTCGTATTCACTCCTTGCAGTGCGCCAGTTTTACCATTCATTTCAGTTCGCGCATCCGTTGGAGAATATTTCCAATTACTTTTAAGCCGAACGAAAGTTTACAGCTCCAAGTTTCTGGGCCGAAAGTGGGTTCACGTGTTGTTTTTTTTTTTTTATCAAATTAACCTTTTTTTGCTTCCGATTCTCCAAGTCTGTGCTCCATTCAATTAGTTATGCTTGCTCAATGACCTGTAACAACCGATTTCTTAGGGAATATTGCTGAGACAGCTTTCGTTACACGCCGACCTATGGAAGAGCGCTCCACTCAAACAAACACTGATGCGAGAATATATGTATCTTGTTAATAACTACTCAATAAAAGTACTTCTGTTAGACCGCAGGTTTACCTTCTAGAATAATGTGCTCTAAAGTTGATTCTTCTGAATTATCCAAGTCTTCCAAGCTCTTTGCCCGATTATCGAGTTTAGTTCCTAAAATCTCACAGTTTTCACCAAAAGTCACTGTGGATGATAATTTCGTGTTCGTCTCGCTTTTGTCAATGTCTGTTAAAAGCGATATTTTTGTGATCGGCGGTGATCGGATTGTGGCCTGCTCTCGTAAGGTGTAATGCAATCCGTTGACTTCATTTTGAAGGCGGTTAAGTGTTTTCTGTCGAGCTTTTTCCAGTGAATTCAGAGATGTTTGCAGTATTCTGTCTTCTCTATCGTTTAACCATCGCACGTTATTGCTACCATGCCCAAGATTTAACTCGCGCAGACCCACTTTTCCTCTAGTTGCAACTTTCATGCTTTCCATTTGTCGCTAAATCGTCCGGTTCTGATCTTGAAGACAAGGGTGTCTGTGCTTAAATACGCCTCTTTGACATGTTAATCTCTAAACGACTGGTAAGATATAAATCACGGAGCGCTCTTTTGTCTAATGCTCGCAAATTTTTATTTGCAAATGACTCTGGCCGATTGACAATTAGCCGAATGAGGAAAGTGGTTCCTTTGCCCTTGGGATTAATTACTGAGAGATGCTTTTCTCTTGTAAACAATAAATTCGCTCACTTCTTTTGTGCTCTAATCAGCTGACAATGATGATATTTGCGTCATAATACCTAAGTGACTAGGTAAAGTCTTTTATACTTTATTCCCTACGTGCGTAGAGCTTTTGTTTTTAAGGGGCGAGCTGATAAATATTTTTAAAATTTTCAGCCAAAGCAAAATAATTCATGCAATATCCGGAGCACTATCCTCTAAAACGGGTGTGATTTTCGTCTTTTTAACAAATTCAACGTCAATGTCAGGGCAGTAATCTTCTATGAATTACAAAGCAAGCGAGTAGCGGATTTTTCAATAACGAATGCTTCACTTTTTTGAAATATAAACGAGCTGTTTCAAATTAAAAACCTATATGGGGATAGTGAACCATCTTTTTTTAATGCACCGAAACGAACTGATATTTTTCTGCACGCAAATTGCGCATCCGAAAGCAAGAAGACCTCATCAACATTTCATACGCAAATTGTAAAATATCCAAATATGCAATCGTAACCAAAATTTGTCTCGAATGTTTATTTTCTAAAAATAAAGAAAATAACTACTAAAATAGATTTTTTAAAAAAAATGTTGTCTTGAGTGATATGAAGTGTGTAACTACAGATCCAAACCAAACGTAGGAAACTCATGAAAGGTCATAAAACAGCAATTAAACGGTCGTTCAGTGGAGCCACATGACCCAATATGTTCGAGTCATTTCAGCGTCATAAACAATTTCTTTTATTAGAATGGAACCTAAAAAAAAGGAAAATTCCTAAGATGGGCTAACACTGAAGGGTATTTAAACCAAAAGAAAAAAAAAGTACTGTTAGCGATTGTGAAGATTTACTCAGATTTAAATTTGCGAATTTTGACACAGCTTTAGGCTAAAATTTTCGGCGGCACTCACGGCTATATATATCCAAGCAACTGCATAAAAAGATCCTGTATTGCAACGTCATTTACGAAGATAATTATCACATTAGGAACATTCTGGACTGTCTCAGTGAACCGGCGAACGTGGCTTTTCACTAATAACTATTTCCAGCATAAGAGAACAAAATGATATAAGTAGTTTTAATCCTTTAAAAATATACTCTTAATTGCGCAACTCCTACGATTTTGATCGAGGTCATTCATGTAGAATCTCCAAGAAAATCGTAACATCATTTTGCAGATTAAGGTCTTGACCACGAATGACACTGCATCTTTAAGCATTTAATGTGTTTTGAGACAGCCCACGCTTGTGATGTCTTAGTTTTATATTGACCTGTTGCAAAGTGTTGTTTTGAGTGAAGTTGTACGCGATTCTTCCTGCCTGGCCGTATTTCTAAAGGCCTCCTCCACACAAAAGCGTTCTCATTTAAAAACGCGAATCTTTTCAGACGTTTTTGCTCAGCATTTGCACTGAAACGCTCACGAACGCACCGAAAAACCCCGGGTAACTTTTGAAATGGTGTTAAAAGAAGAGTCTTTTGATAACCGATAGCTTTATTTTTAATGTGGTTAGATGAATGCAGAGGCTTTTGAAAAGGGTCTAGTGAAATGAATCACTCCGTCTTATGGCGTTTTAGCGCACCGGCACGCACGTGATCAAGACTTTTGTCTGTTTAAACAACCCTCTGTTCTGCTTATTGTTGCGGTGCTTATGTTCTTGCTGTGTTATTCGAATGCTTGAGTATTGTTGTAAGAAATTTTAAATTATAGTAGAGCTGAAGTCTCACTTGTCTGTTTAGTGGAAATGAAATAGTCGTACCTCCCAATTAAGAGTTTTGTCTAAGTTGAGACATAAAATTTTCAGCTGTGGAAGACTGGTATCATTCTTTCTGGTAAATTAAGCACACGTGGAAAAAACATAAAAGTTAGTCGTAGACGTGATAAGAATATTTAAAACGACTGACTTAATTTTTCTTAAATGTCCAGTTCGGAGCTAATCTGCATAATTTTGAAAAGACTTTAGACTCATCATTATGGTTTTTTAAGTTGAATCTTTAGGAACATATTGTAAATGACCTTATGTACCCAGTGTATAGCCTAGCTTACAAGGTAAAGCATCACGCAGCGAAATACGAGGGGCTGACGTTCGTATCCTTGAAGGGCGGGTTTAATATTTTCTTTTACTCTGTCATTTGCCCGTTACAAGTGAATGACATCTTTCGATAGCCGAGCTCGAAATGTCATCAGTCGTCATTTATCACAAAAAAACGCTCATGAATATTCAGTAGGTTCCGTAATTGAGGATGTAGACCATATCATCTTAAGATTCTATCACAGCGCACACTGTTTAATCTCAACCACGCTACCACGCTGAGGAGACAAAAAGTAAGCTTTGATCAGACATACTCCAAGTTACAGCTAAATCTTCGGTTTGATCCACGCAAACTCAGAGGGGGTCACAGCCTATTGCTGAAAAACACACCTAAATAACTTATTAATCATGACTCTTGGTACCCAATTCACAAACCAAATTACTTAATCTTTCTCAAACATGTCCGCAACACGTCGTGAACAATTCGAAACTTAAGTTTAGTTTTGGTCACCACCTATGGGCATAAGCTACATAACAAATGATTCGCATAGCTCTCTGAACGTCATCTTTTGCTCCATGTCAATTCTGTTTTCGATCTTCTATTCAGCAAGGTATTACATGATTATGCCTTTCTACCACAGCCAATCAAAATACGCCATTCTGTTGACCTTAAAAGCCCTTAACAAATCGTATTACATTTAGCGTCTTCTCATCAACGTGCGTTTGCAATGCAGATGTAATCTCAATGTTTGAAGAATTTTAATTAACCCACGGCGGCGAAGTTCACCTCGACGGATTCATTTTCTGACGCGTTCTGGTTATTAGTGTGAGCTAAAGTGAATTGCATCGGTACAGAAGTTATAATCAAGTCGCTCCTCTATTGTCTGGTGGTTTTGTTCTCGTGAAGAAGGTGTGAAGTATACGTGAGTGGGTTAGTTGGCTACTGTTTGTATTTACTCTGTTAATGTCTTTTGCCTTAGATCTTTCACGCAAATTATCTGCTGCTGTTTTTCTTTCACAGACTCAAGAACAGACAAAATGCCCGTCAGTTGTTTTGTTTGAGTTTCATCTCCTTTTCATACACTCTATATCATTGGTCAGACACTCTTTAAGGGTTTGAATAGCTGCTAACTTGAAAAGAAGGAGTCTTCTGTGTAAAAGAACAAAGGGCTTCTAATTCCTTGGTTTACTTTGAAGTTAATGCAAAAATGACAGAGGCCTTGAGCGAGCTTGGCTGCATTTGAAGTAGTCTTTAAACTAAGCGGGGTTTGCAAATTCAGTCACACAGGAGAACGAAACTGTTCTCTGCAATGGTATATATTTGATGTAACAGTTGTGGTCTTTATGAGAGAACTGTTCCACGGGATATGTCATCTAACCCTCAAATAAACTCTGGATAACTGGATTTTCATCGGTTCTTCACTATTGAGCAATATCGAACTTCGAGACCTTTCTCTCGACGCTAAACTCAGAATGGATCTAAATTTTAACATTTGCCAGCCAGACACCAATGAGAAAAAGCACTCTACTGATGACCTTGGAATCAAATCAACCCATGTCATAAACCTGGGAGAAAATGCTCACGCTATCGGAACACAGAACGGAAAAAAGGAATTCGGAAGCTCGGAACATGTCTGTCTGCCCACAGTTTTTGAGGGTAAAATTACTCATGAAAGGAAAGTACTCCAAAAAGAGAAGTTAACAAATATGGGTAAGTTGAGTTTGTTATGTAACTCTTCCGTTGAAAAATAAATATCGCGGTCAGTTGTGCTGCTTAATATTCTGCGAAAATATGTAAGAGTGAATTCAGTCTTGATCAAGCACCCCACTCAAACGGAATTTTAGACTGTACAGATCCTACACAGGGCCCAACGTGAAAAGGAGAGAGGAAATGAAATTCATTTCTCTTCTCCGTCCTCGCTATATGCTGGCCACGCAAGCGAAATGTATCTACAATAAGAATGGGATTTTTCGTGTAACTGCACTCGATAAAATTAATTCTTTTTTACACCAAATTCAACATACCCACATCGGTCAGATTACCCTATAATACCCGTATTCATGTAGATACTTCGATCGACGCACTTCTTATTTTGCCAATGAAATTAAGCCAGTTACTTATGATTCATAATTTCGGTGTAAATTTGTTTAAACATTTCAAACCTGGAAAAATCGATTCATCCTTAACAGAGTGGTCAAATGGTCAGATTCTTCCATTTTTTAAGTATAAGAATAAGTTTTTCGTTTTAGCCGCCGATTATTACATTTAACAACAATCTAAACACTAATAAAAAACAAAGCCTTTTCTCCGTCTTAGTTAAAATTAAACAAATGCTAAGTTGTCATGACTTTTCTTACGTATTTATGCCAAATAAAGTAACAGCACATTGCGGAAGCATCGATGCAATCGATGCAACAGCCTCGATTGACAATTTAATTCAGCAAAAGGGCACACGAACATTCATCAATAGGTGGCCAAAGGAATAGTTTTTTTTGCCGGATAAAAGTCCATTACCTCTGCGAGAATCTTTAGGGTAATACCTTTAATCTCCAGTTATGATTAGATGGAATTATGACGTAAGTATGAGGATTTTATATCACTGAGCCATATTTGATCATAAGTGCGATAACTATCTCTAAATGAATGATGTCCTGCTTATTTTCTCACTTGCAGTCTCCTGGCGGAGGTCTGGGTCAAATCATGACGTCAGACGCAGCGATCCTCGGGCACTATCCCCATGCTTCCCGAGATATTCATCCCAGGAGAGCCTGGATGATAACATTCCAAAATCGCCCACTGTAGGACGTACGTTTCAGCGCAAAATCTCTAACCCACTCCCCACGGATTCAAAGAAGAAGTTGCACTTGAGAATTAGGGGAAGAGCTCTTTCGGATTCTCCCGCGGAAGCCCTTATTAGTCCTGTTGTCCCGCGCAAACATCTAAACCCTGAAAACGACTTTAATTATTGGCAAGTACAAGGAGGTTTATCGCGCGTCAAGTCTTGTCCTGTAATCAAATCTGAATCAAATGAGCGACTCGGCGATCTTTCACTTTTACTGACAAGTAAGTCGTCTTCGGCTGTACACTCGACTTTTAAAGCCGCTGGCCTTGACAGATTACCACAGATTCACCAAGAGGATAGTCCAATGTTGGTGCGCACGCGTAAAACATCCAACGAAAGACCGAGAGAGCTGTTTAATGTGAGTCCCATTATGGGTCAGTCTGGTAATTTCTTAAGCAAACCCAACATAGCTAACGATAATCAGTGTGATTTTACTGATAAAGTAGAATACTATCTGTATAGTATGTCTTTTGACGATGATAAAGCTTCTATATCTGGTTTAAGCGACAGTTGATTGTTATTCACGCCGTGCTATCCTGAGTGTTTGATGTGGTAGTTCAAGGCGATGTAGGTGTTGCACCTTACCATGAGGACAAGAGCGTGTTCTACAGATGATCAACTTCACGCGCCTAAAATCTGAAGTGTGCCAAAGGTTTCATTGTACGATAAACTAAAATGAACTGCTTTGCTTCACTAAATTCAACCCTCCATTACTATACTGAGTCGAGACATTCGTCATGACCTATGCTCATATTCTCCGCATCTTTTGCTTTCAGCAGCTCAAATGATTATCATCTTTTTTCCTTTCCGGTTTGATTGGGAATAAATAAAAATAGATGGAGACTTGGCTTAAATCAACTGGAAACATGCCACAAATGGTAACCAAGATCACGCAAGAATGTTTGATTAAATTGTTTGCAAAGTTTGTTTTTAACGTTTAAATCAAACATTGAGACAATTCTGTCAATTCTATTAGCTGCTTGCAAATAAATCCTAATAAATCGCCTCACGCTATTGGATATGACTGCTCCTTTTAAGTAATTGTATAGCTGTTTTTCACTTAAGCATTTTGCAACCTCCCTGATTAAATTTGTAATAATAATACTACTAACAATAATATGATAAAAAAAATAAATTTAATATTTATAACTCAGATATATTTATTTACATATCGCCTTACTTGTGCGGGAAAACCAGTAAAGATAAACGAAATAACGCTCAAGTAGGTAATAACATACAGTGCTATTGGTTCTATCCGTTACTGAGACAGTTGTCGTGGTTGAGATGTTTGGTCGATTTTTTAACTTATCTAAGGGAGTCAACTAAGTGAAAGTCACTACATCAGCGTCTTCCACAGATGGTTTGAATCATTTACCAAGTCGTGGTTAGCACGCTGGTGAGTCAAAAAGAATTGCGCAACGGACCTCACCGAAAAGGAGGAACTGCTCGTAGTCTGTGAATTTTGATCTTAAAAAATTGAAATAAAAGCACCTTGCGGATGAAATTTTGATACCAAAATCTTGAGGAGATGTTTCTCGGTAAACCTGCACTTTTTTTGAGACTATAAAGTTCCTTAAACCGGGTTTGAGAATGTTTCCCATTCGGCCTTCATCAGAAGACGAAACCAGTAGAAATGTACTCTTTTGAATTTAGACTCTCACTAAATAGAAATTCCTTTCGAAAGCTCATTATAATTTGGAAATTTACTGAAAACGAATAAAGCTAATTATAATTTGGAAATTTACTGAAAACGAATAAAGGTTGGTCTGGAAAAAAGAAAAAAGTTTTAATGAAGAATCTGGCGCATCCACATATTACATTGCGACCCATATTTGCACTTCTGCGATAAAGTACACACAGATGACAATTTAATAAACAAAATTCCCACTTTGATTTGCAACAGCGTTAATCTATTATTAATCATCTGATTCTTCGCCTTCTTTTACACTTGTACGTCCCACGTCGGGAGAAAATCGCCCCAGAGCTGTATGGAGAATTGAGCTCACATCCAAACTCCCTGGAGTAGGGGTTGAAGACCTCCGTAGTTCCCAGGGTTTCTGCCGTCTCCCGCTTGCGTCTCTCTTCGCCCCTACCGGCCGGCTTGGCGTAAATCGTGGATCAGATCCTCTCCTTCCTAAATCTATCGGGCAATCTTCCGACAGTTCGGTTATGTTTTGAAACGATGCACTTTTCCTCATTGGCAAATCAACGGTCCCCAGCATGTTGTTGTTGTTGTTACTTGGCGATTTTTCTTCCATCTTTTCTAGTTTTTGAAGCATTTCAATAGTTCTTGCTCGGTCGGTGGCATCGTCTTTGCTGATTCGCGTGTTTCCTTTTTTGACGCGAGATTTCAGGGAATTAACTGTAGGATTATTGTTTGCCATCAAGCAATCCAACAAAAGGGAAAGAGCTTTGATCGAGGTCTTTCTTCTCTAGCAACTTTTCGAGGTTGACCAAAATTGTCGCCTCCACTAATTATTCTTTAAGCAGGTAGTATTTTAAAAAGAAACTGTGCTGTCAACTGTTCTTTGATTACCAAAATATCTTCATGTCTGTTGGGAGTACTGTTCTTGATCGATGCTTTTCCGGTTTGATCGGGATTAAACGAGATGGAGACTCTGCTTAAATCAACTGGAAACAACCCACAAATGGTAACCAAGATCACGTAAGAATGTTTGATTTAATTGTTTACAAAGTTTGTTTTTAACGTTTAAATCAAACAGTGAAACAATTCCGTCAATTCTATTAGCTGCTTGCAAATAAATCCTAATAAATCGCTTCACGCTATCGAATATGACTGCTCCTTTTACGAAATTGTATAGCTGCTTTTCACTTTAGCGTTTTGAATCCCCCCTGATTAAATTTTTCCTCTTTTCAGTTACTTGTGTTAGAACACCGGTCAAGATAAACAAATTCTTTGCGAAGAGCGCACAAATGCGTAATAACATACAATGCTATTGGCTCTGTCCGATAATGAGACAGTTGTCATGGTTGAGATATTTGGTCCAATTTTTTTTTTTTTAACTAAGATAAGGGTGTCAAATAAAAGTCACTGCATGAGCGTCTTCAACGGACAGTTTGAATCATTTACCGAGTCATACTCGTCATTTAAGGTGTGTAAGGCCGGGTATATGTTATACACTTAGTAAGAAATTTGGGAATTTCACATATCAGTCATTTTTGATTCTGTCCATTCACAGCCTGTAGAGTGCTTTCGTTGGTGCTTTTTATGAGGTAAGGTTAACGCAGGTCAGGAAAGAGCTCTCTAGCGGCCAACAGACCTGAGAGCTGAGGGTAATGACTGATTAGCTGACTGACTGATTGACGTCTGACTCAGAGAGTGATCAACTGATTGACTGACCGACAGACAGACTGATTAGCTGGCTTGCTAAGTGACAGTCTGACTGAATTACTGACTAACGGCTGACTGACTGACTGACTGGCTGGCTGACTGATCGACCATCTGACTGAAGACTGAGTGACTGAGTGACTGACTAATTGACTTAAAAATCGACTGAACGTCTAATTTATAAACTACTGAATGCCGGAGTGGATAAATGAAAGATTCAATGACTGCGTGAGTGAGATTATGACAAAACAGATTGGCTTTGAATTTTTTAATACAGCGAGTGGTCCCTCCCTTTTTGCGAAGTTCGTCGCGCAAGTCAAAAATAAACCAGCGAAAGTAAAAAAAAAATTGATGTCAGCGCGCCGAGTAGACCTCTGAGAGTGAGGCGCAAGAAAAATAAAATGAATACGAAAACTGTGGTGCTGCGTCGGTGGGAGAGTATAACAAGGTAATTTGGTAATATTAACTGAGTTGATCATGCAAATTGGCCACCGAAAAGAGTTTCAAAGCTGACATTTTGAACGTTAGCCCTTCGTCAGAGCGAATGAAGGAATTGTGAGTTGTGAGTGAGTTTATATGCAGAAAATAGAGATGAGAAAAGCAGCCTAACTCCCAAAGGTTCACGCGGCGCGCGAACATAAATTTTTCAGTGATAGAGTATCTTTTCCAAGGTCACGATCACGATAATGGTGACGCCAGCCCTAAAGACGGTGCCGGACAATTGACATATTACTTTGCTTTTCCCTTCTTTAAGTTTTCTAGCGGGGCACTTTGTAACTTCAATTTTCAGGATTTCAATCCTCTTTAAAGTCTCTTAAAAACTTGTGAAGATGTAGGCCGCATGAAACTCTTTCACTGACGAAAGACTCACTCTAGCTATAGGCCTAAGTAGTAGATAGATGGAATGAGAAAAAACCTATCAAAGTTCCATTAAATTAGTTAATAGCTGTCTCAGTAAACGTTTCTTTTCACTCAAATGATTAGCTGGGATTTAAGCAGCGAAAATGCAAATTTAAAATGGAAAGCTTTATGTGCCTTTCTCGCTGAGTGACAGGATCTTTAATTGACATTTCCTCTTTTGCCTTAGTATCGATAAGAATTAAAGAGATCTCAACGTACGTACATCATTATCCCATAATGCAGAGTCTCTGTTTTCTTTCACAACACCGTTTGAGGACGGTCAGGCCCAGAGAACATTTCCAATGAGTAAATTTCGCTTTTAGACAGGTAAGTTTCAAACAACATCTTTGATAGCGAATTTGCCCGAGTGAAATAATCCATGGCGATTGTAAATTCAACTGAGGATGGAAATCATGCAATCACAAAGAGCTCTGTAGCGCTTCAGTTCTTGGAGCAGCTCAGGACATTTTCATTTCAACTTTGGATATTCCATTATCCATCATTGCATTTGTTGGGAATATTTTGATCATTGTTGCTCTTCAGAAGGTTTCGTCGCTTTATCCGCCGTCGAAACATTTGCTCGGTTGTCTGGCCTCATACACATCCCCTACGAGGTGGAATCCATTTGTCTCGAGATCACTCGAATGACTGGTACTATTTCTGATTCCTTTTTATCATCACGACTTTGTTGTTTAGCGGCGTATCTTTATTAACAATGACTGCAATAAGAGTAGACAGACTTCTTGCTCCGTTTTTTGGGCTGAGATACAGACAGGTGGTGACTGTGAGGCGAGTAATGGCGCTTGTTGATACTCTTTGGTATCCAGTTGTTATCTCCCTTATGGCGTAATCTCAAGTTTCATGATTATCACTGGTTTGGAGACACGCCCACTTTAGTTTACCTGGTCTTTAAAGATATCTCTTATGTTGTTTAACTCGACTCTAAATCCATTCCTGTACTGCTGGAGGATGCGAGAAATGATTCAAAGAGTGAAGGACATCATCAGACGGTTTTCCTGTCCATCCTAAAAAGCAACTTAGATTTGTTTATCATACAAGACCAAGGTATGGTTAGTGCTTTCGTAGATTTAAATACCTTGTACACAACAGTACTACTGAAGTGTTTCCGAGAACGACTAAGATCGTTAACAAAATACTGTTTGAGAATGTGGGTCCTGGGAGTGGCTCGATGATAGCCCTTCTCTGCTGCATATCTAGTTCAACAGCTGAAAACTCATCTGCTGCACCGATCGCGCACAGAATATGAAGGAAGTGATGGCTGTGCCCTACCACGTCGAAAACTCCAATCATTAGACGTTCTGGGACGCGGAAAACATAAGCAAGCGTCCCACCCGCGTAGAATAGACAGTGACGAGTGAAATACTGCACGGATTGAGGGCTGCTACAAGTTGATGTTGTGTTACATAATGATAACATTGTCCAATAAGGTGAAGTGTTGAACAGCCACGAGCTAATGTAAGTACTCGCTTTTAAAGCTGCATCGAAACGACTTGTGCTGCAAAACGAGTAGCAACACGCCAACGTCGATGCAAAAGAAATGGCGGCGGAGATCGCTAGGAACAGAGCGGGAGTGTTGAATATCAACCAAGTTGTGTTCACCGGCCTGGAATAAAAATAAAACACTTGACCAGCCGTGAAGGTGTACACGCTAATGGCAGCATAATCGAAAAAGAAGCATACGTGGCAAGCCTTAGTGGACATGCAATTGAACAAGTGCGCGCTGACACTCATAGCAAGCATTACACAAATCCCGAATGCAAAGCACAGCAGTGGATACACGAACGGATCTTCCTGCAGCTTGTGTTTGGCGAAGACAGAAGCAAAACGAAGCATGAAAACAGCAAACGCCAAAACATGACTCCAAATGTTGATCGTCTCGTTGGTGGCTTGAAACAAGCTTTTGAAACAATCCCACGCAGACGAATCACACTTACGATAACTCGATACTATGAACGGTTGGCGAAAAAACGAAGGTACTTTGTCAAAATTTACCAAATCATTTGAGATGTCAGTTTCCTTCTCCAATTCGCACTTGTTTCGTGTGATGTTCCAGTTATTGTCTTTTTGGTTATTATTTTTACTGATCAGCGCTTTAGTGGCCCCATAAAATCCCTTTCCTGTTCGTGTTGGCACGTTGGATTGCCGATTCTTCATGCTCTCACAAATTAACAATCTCTTTCAACTGACCCAGTGCAATAATGATTATGTTTGGGTAGCTGCTCTCTTTCTTTGGCTTTTTACCAGTTCATTGTGTTGTAAATATTCCGCAATTGCGCTTATTGTTTACGACATACATCTTTGAGTGCTACGCTTCAGTTATAATACGAAAAAAAAAAACGAGTTTCATCACAGAGAGCTGTACACAAGATGAAGAATACGAAAACTTGGCACTAGTTATTTTACCAGTTTTCATTAAATATGAAACACAATTATTGGCATTTTACCCATTAAACGGAATTACTTTTGGAATAATGAATGCTAAGTCCCTTACAAAGTCCACAAAACCACAGACATGTAAATAGGCATGTCCTATTAGACGTGCAAAGAGTATTTTTCTTAAGAAGGGGTGCATAACTAAGAAAAGAACCAGCTGACGGGTGATTTCAACAAATTTTAAAAGCGAAAATGAAGAAAAAAGACTTACGACGAAGCAATAACAAAATGTGAACTTCTGGTGCTAAATAGCAAACGATATGGCAGATTTTGCAAAACAGTGAAGCTATGTTAAAGAGCCGAAGGTCATCTTAGGGTTGGGGGGGGGGGGGTGGTTGCGCGCCCCCTGCACCCCTCCCCGGAATTCTCCCTTGTGTATAATAATGCTACAACAGCGTTATGCAAATAATGTTAATACCGTAAGAGTGACCTTCGTTTAGGCCAGGAAACGTTTCCACGCCCTAAAAAATACGTACTTGAACAATATAAATTTGAAGCCATTTTCAACTAAACAAATGAAACACTGTTCATGGTATTCATTAAAGCCTGGCAGTAGCTCAGAGGAAAATTAACGCCTTTTAGTTTGGCACTGTATAGTTAATGGGTGATGACCTGCTCAGCAGATCGGAAAAGGGTTTTATTATATCTTTTAACTGCAGATTAAGAAATGAACATGAAGCGATATTTGCAGCAATGAACACTACTTAAGCAATAGTGAAAATAAGGCCTGAAATATATATTTAAAGTCACTAATTTATCACTTCACGGGTTTATTTGGAACCAACATAATGACTAGCTCCCCCCATGGCCTGTTAGCTCAGGTGGTAGAGCACTGCACCGGTATCGCAGAGATCATGGGGTCAAATCCCGTACAAGCTTGAATTTTTTTTTCAGGCCTTATTTTCACTATTGCTTAAGAAGTGTTCATTGCTGCGAAGATCGCTACCGATACCGTGCCACGTGTCTTGAACTCTCTGTTCACGTGCTTTCCCTTTGTCTTCGTCAGTCAAATACAGAACAGACCACTCAAAATATTTTTTCAAACAAGAACCTGTTCAGTTGTTGGCTTAGCTCTCGAGAAAGAAAAGTTACATAGAAATGAGGAGAAGGCTTAACTGAAGAAAATATACTAAAAAAATTGTCATTCTTTAAGAAAATTTGAATATATGATAAACGACACAAAAGATCAATATCATAATTATCAGCTTTACAAGTCATTAGTTTGTTTTTGACACGACATTTTACGCCACGGACAAAGTTCGTATCTTCTGTGCGAGTTTTGCGACATTTCTAAACTTGGGAAGAATATGGAGATGTTAGAAACGAAAAAGCGAAAATTAAACGTTATGTTGAAATTATTCCGAAATATTAATGGTTCATAACTATCTTTTAGAAAATTATCAACAAAATAGGTCACCTGTCGAGCATGTAAAACTGGGTAAACAGTCATGCATGTAAATTGTTTTAATTTCAATTGAAAACAGCACTATTTAAAATAATTAGACGTTTGTAATAACATAGTTTTAAGGAAAGAAAGGAAATATCATTTACTACCGATTCAAATTTGGTCGAAGAAATTCTCGACACTTCAGACTGTCCATCTTTATAGTCTTCTTGTACATTCAGGAGAAACGTCAAAATACTGTACGTACATGTGTGGATCAGGTCAACACGGGGTCGATGGAGGTTACATTTTTTTTTTTTTTTAAGAATTAGACTAACCACAAATAGAAGTAAAAGAACGACAGAAGAAATAAAGGATGACAAAGCATGGCGGACTGCAACTAACAAACTTGATTTAATCTATGCTAATTATTCCGTAATGTACTGACCACAAATATCATCTTGCAGATGCGTAAATTTATATACTATTGTGAAAGAAAAAATTGCGTCTATAACTCTTCGCCATGAGAGCAGTTGTCTTAATTATGCATGCTGAAAACAGTGTTTTTAAGATTAAGAGTTCTAAAAACTTCGAATGCTTAACAGTTTCTTGGTGAGAAATTTATTGAGTGCGTGAATTAGTTTGAGGTGCATCAAAGTTGGTCTCGAACCTTCTCGAGTTTTTCTTGTGATACTTTTTGTATATTATGATTATCTCCGTGGAGAACAGACGCATGATGGAAGAGGTGAATGTTTTGTCTACCAAGGCCTACTATAAATGAGATGCGCGAGGAAGTCGAAGTTCAAAGTCCCATGGTTGCTTGAAAAATTTGAAATTTGAATTTAAAATATGACACAAATGAATTGGATATTTACGATTCAGTGAACTGGAACGAAGTCGGCGAAAGAGAGCAGTCCTAAAAACGAAACCATTAAACCGCCTCAGCTAAAAAAAAACTGGACCGTTCTTTTCCAGAACGCAGACCCTTTTTACGAGACAGGATGAAACGAAAGTGCAAAGTGGCCATCGGAACAGATAATGAACGCCTTATTAGCGAAAGTGGTCTTAAAAAAAGCAACAAAAAGAATATCGTGACAACCAAAAGCAAACTGGAAGAAGCTGACACGTCCAGTGACTTGGTGGATTTCGACAAAGTTCCTTCTTTTTTCCGCGAGCCGTTTATAATATCGAGTTATCGCAAGTGTGATTCGTCCGCGTGGTACTGTTTCAAAAGCTTGTTTCAAGCCACCAACGAGACGATCAACATTTGGAGTCATGTTTTGGCGCTCGCTGTTTTCATGCTTCGCTTTGCATCTGTCTTCGCCAAACACGAGCCGCGGGAAGATCCGTTCGTGTATCCACTGCTGTGCTTTGCATTCGGGATTTGTGTAATGCTTGCCATGAGTGCTGGCGCTCACTTGTTCAACTGCATGTCGATCAAAGCCCGTCACGTATGCTTCTTTTTCGATTATGCTGCCATTAGCGTGTACACCTTCACGGCT